AGCCCCCATCCCAGGTATGGGGGACCCATCGCCTGACCCTGAGCAGTCAGAGGGCGCCGGCCTGACCCCCGGGGCTTCCCTCCAGCCCGCCGGCCCGGAGGAGCCGCTGCAGATGCCGCCCGAGTGGCAGGCGCAGGCGGGGCAGGAGATTTGGGCACAGCAGCCCCACCTGGGCCAGATACCCTTGGCCTTCCAGGGCCCCGACGCCCACATGGGAGAGATGCTGTACCCGGGCGCCGGGCTGTCCCCGGAGTATTACGCCGGCGAAAGGCGGTCCGCGGAGCCCAGGACCAGCCTGCTGTTACAGCAGGTGGAGCCGGGCCTCCTCCAGCACTTGGAGATGACCTACCGGGACCCCCGCTCGGACCTCCTCGGCCAGTTCAACCCCTACCAGCGGGAGGAGCTGCTGCTGGAGGACACGCCGCACGGCCCCTACTTGCCGGATGACCCTGGTATCCACTACTCCGAGTTCCACTTCCCCTACAACCTGGAGGTGCCCCAGCCCGAACCGCGAGAGCTGGCCGTACAGAACGCCAAAGCCTACCTCCTGCAGACCAGCGTGCGGTGTGACCTCAGCTTGTGAGAAGGGGCGGTGATGGGGGGCAGCCCTAGGCAGGGAGGGCCCCAGCCAGCGATGGCCCCGTGTGGGGCAGCCAGCTACTGTGGCCGGCTTGGCTCCTTAGGGGGTGGTAGCACGAAGGAGATCGGTCCCTAAGCGTTAAGTCAAACCCCCTATTGGAAACAAATTAGTTCTAACTGCCACCTGGACAGCTTTTAAAGCATGAAGCTTTGCCCTGCATTCACACCCCCCACTGTGATTTCAACATCTAGGGACCCTATCGGGCTTCTCGGATTATCAGTGTTGACAGGAACAGTGTTGACAGGCTCGGCTGGCTCCCACTGGGCGGCTGGTGAGTTTGAGCCGCTGACCTATGGTGAGCACCCCAGAGCCTAATTTCTCCCACTGACAATACAACAGCGACTCACTTCCAGAGTCATTCTGACTCATTAGCCACCCTGTAAGGCAGGGTAGACTTGCCCCTGTGCCCTTCCAAGACTGTAAGTTTATGGGAGTAGAAAGCCTCCTCTTCCCCCACCCTCCAGGAGCAACTGGTGGTTTTGAACTGCTGACCCTGGCCTTTAGCTGCCAACTGACCCACTGCCACCACCAGGCCTCATCAGCCGACCACCATCAGGGCAGGGCAGACTAGAACAGAGTGGAACTTCCTCCTAGCGCTTCTGAGGCTGTAGATTAGGGCAGGAGCAGACAGCCTCATCTTTCTCCCAAGGAGCAGCTGGTGGGCTTGAACTCCCCAGCCTTGTGGTTCAAAACCCAACGTGCTTAACCCACCAGGGCTCCATGGGAACATTCCCATCGCCTCAAAGGGCAAGTCAGAGTTCTCCATAAATCAGAATTCTGGGTAACCCGGGGATTGTGATGGTTCACTTAACCAAAAGCATGCTGTCAAGGCACGCCACACATTCCTATCTCCCAGCCACACCTCCTGCCCTGTTCTACACAGAGAAGCTGGAAGCCCTGTGCTTCCCACTAAGCTACTTCCCCCACCTGAGGACAGCACCAGCCAAGGCTGCCGAGTCCCTGTTGAAATACACAAGCCCAGCCCCCCCGAACACCCTCCTGTGTCATGCCGAGACTGAAAGGTTTGAGCAATGAAAGCTCCCCACCCCTCCCTTGACTAGAACCTTCTGTGGCTCCCCAGTACTCTCAGGAGGAAACACAGCACATCACCACAACCTTCAAGGTCCCTGCCCCTCTCCGAACTTCAGCTCTAGTGCGTGCCCCTCCTACCTCAGACCCTTGAATTCAGCCGAAAGTAAGCTGGGGTGGGGTGGGGGATGTCCCCTAACAGATCCCAACCATGGACCTGCAAGATCTCCTGACTAGAGGAGGCCGGCCCCCCTCCCGTTGTCCACAGCTCACCTCTTCCTACCCTTTGCTCCCTTCGGTGTGGTCCTCCCCCACAGGATCAAGGGGTGTCCACTCGGCACAGTTGCATGCACGTGCGCCGAGATCACAGCAACCGGGTTTGAAATTCTGAAATTTCAACCGGGTTTGAAATTCTGACGGGCAGAGAGGAAGGGCCCTAAGTATTCCTTGGGTGCATGGCGGAGGTGAAGATTCAACATTGCTCCCAAGAGCCCCGCCTGGTGCCTGGCTCCGGTGGACGGGAGCGATTACAATCCGATCATCCCTCCGGTCTCCTCCTCTCCCACAAACCCTAACTCACACCACCCCAGCCACGCTGACCTCATCCTGTCATGCCAGGCACACCCCAATCACGTCATCTGCAGACCATGACAGTGTTAGTCAGTGTTAAAAAGCCTGGTTTCAACGTGATTACACTTTTTCTGTTTCGTGCCGCATTGTATTGGCTGGGACCTCCACTAGGGGTGGGGGGTGTCACTTTGTTCTCATTCTCAGAAAGGATTCCGTCTTTCGCCATGGTGTTTGGCAGGTGCTATAGATGACTTGGGGAGCCCGGGTGGCGTAGGGGTTACGTGTTGGGCTGTTAGCCACAAGGTCAGCAGTGTGAACCCCCAGCTGCTCTGTGGGAGAACGTTTGCTGCCTCCACAGAGATTTCTAGCCTCAGAAGCCCACAGGAGCAGCTTTATACTGTCCACAAGGCTGTTCAGATCAGAATTGACTCGGTGGCAGGGAGTTGGGCTGTAAAGAAGATGTATGGCTCCCCTTGATGAGATTACCTAGCACTCCTACTACCTTAATAAAACTGGTTTCCATTATGAACATATGCTGAATGGTACCAGTTTTTGACATCTATTGAGCACGCGTCACCTACCTCCTTTAACAAGTTAACACACTACATCATGTTGTTCTATTTCTCTAATGTCACTACAGTCTTGCACGCCCGGGATCAAACTTCCAAACCAAACTCACTGCCACTGAGTTGATTCTGACTCACAGCAACCCTAAAGGGCAGGGTAGAACTGCCCCCATGGGTTTCTGAGACTGTAACTCTTTACAGGAGTAGAAAGCCTCATCTTTCTCCCTTGGTGCGGCTGGTGGTTTCGAACTGCAGACCTTGTGGGCAGACCTTATGGTTAGTGGCCCAGTGTGTACCACACTACGCCACCAGGGCTTCTTCCAGTCCAATATAACCAGGATGTTGTAGTCATCTTCTCTTTTAAATCATTTTATTGGGAGCTCTTACAGCTGTAACAATCCATAATTCAATTAGACCAATCCATAATTCAATTAGACCAAGCATAGTTGTATGATTGCTGCCACCATCATTTTCAAACATCTTCTTTCTTCTTGAACTCTTTGATATCAGCGCCCCTTATATCTCCTCCATCCCCCACCTCTCCCCTGCCAGGAACCCTTATTATTATATATCATTATTATTTATTTATTTTTGCTGTATCTTACCCCATCCAATGTATCATTCACCTACAATTCTGTATTCCTCTTTTTGACATTGCCGGACCCCACTTGCGAGGAGGCTCTGAAAAGTTCATGGAAAAAATCCCACTGTCTTTCAATTTCATTTTTTCCACTAATGTTTTGAAGAAGTCCCTCCCC